TAATACGCACATTAGCGGAAGCACTTAATACCATCATAGCCGCAATGGCTACAGGACAATCGCCAATGGGAGCATCCCTGCACACCCTTACAACGCTACTCGCCGAGCATTACGGCGAATAGTGTAATACCTACAAACAGTGTTACGCCATTATTATGGCGACTTATTAAACAACACATTCCTGCAGGCCAATATGGCCCAACTTACCGGGGGCACTGAGTGGCGCCTGCGAAGAAACCCGGATCATGAGGAATGCCTCGACACCCGCACCTGGAAGCCCCCTCAAAAGGGCATGTAGAAGACCCAGTCGTCGTCTTCATCGAAAACCGATCGATCACGTTCGCGCGAGTCCAGAAAGTTGCTTTCTGGAACGGTCTGGGACTCGTCTCGACCCATATAAATAGCTGCAGGGAAGCGCGCCAGTTCAGTTCAGTTCGAGCTACCTTCGAAGCGACTTCGAAGTGAAAACTAGTGATCAAGAATGATACCCGTGAAACCTACAACTTGGCTACGACCTAGGACATCATTACTGCTTAGTGTTTGGACCTAGTGCTAGTGAATAAAGTCTTCAAAAGAGTCAGCAGGTCTTTCACTCCAAATCCTTCTAACCCTAACACGCAACAATATTCAATTTGTTGATTCGATTTGTGTGGTTCGAGTGCCACAATATTCGCGATAAAAAACACCCACCTTGATAGCACGGACGACATCTGCCGCGTACGCAAGAACAAAGTAGGTTTCCACGCCTACTCGCTACCCCATGAATGCAAACTCGAGTAGTCATAAAAGGCATCGGGTCCAGCAACAGAGACGCAGCGGTCGTAGTGAGACTAACAAAGAAATATATATATTTAAACATAAGATATATTTTCGGAAGGGATAAAAAATGGAGAAACGTTGGACCAGTGTAAAGAACTCAAAGGAGACTATGTTGAAAAAAAAAAACTTTTTGCATAAAAACCTACGTTTTATTGAAAAAGTCACGGACTTATTGACCCGCCCTCGTATTAAATTACATAAGACATTTTAGAAATTGCTGTATCTAATATATTTACGTACGTATGTTGTCACAGAATTCCTGTACTCGTGTATCAACTTTCAAGAACATTTTCTAAAACATTATTATATTACAATATTATCATTTTATGCTACGGGTTCTTATCAGAAGCCTATCCGTATGAGCTACAGGCATGGGATCAGTCAAGCCAGTGTGTCAAATGCTGTTAAGGAAGTGACAATGGCTTTGAACTCAAATCATACCCTTGAAACCCTTCAAGAAAGTTAGAAGACTATGGGTGAAGAATAATTTCAAAATTTATCCGTATCTGATATTTAATGTAATTCATAATTCATGTACATAAATGTTTTAGGTTTTCCATCAAATTTGGATTTCCAGTCTGTCTAGGTTACATTGATGGAGCTTATGTTGCTTTTATATGGCCCAACCAATATGAGAAAAGATTTTATAATAGAAAGCGTTACCATTCAAGAAATGTTCAAATAGTGAGTACCCTACCCTATGAATATTATAGAGATTATAGTTGTTTTTACCCAACTGCGCCAGAAGGAGGGATATGTTTGTGTCGAGACTGTGTATGTATGTATAATTGTTTGGCACGCTCTGCAGCATGAACGGCTTGATGGATTTTAGCTTGAGAGGTGTCGTTATGTTCGTATTTGCTGTGAGAGGGACGCTGAGTATATCAAAATAATAAAAAAATACACAGAAGCGCAGTCGGGTTTTGTTTTTATTATATTGGTCTGGTATAAAAAGAATATTTCGATATTTGAAGGAATACCAAAGAATATAGTTTACTTTATTTTTCAATGAAGGACAATATTATAGAAGAACTCGGACTATGCTGCGGACACTGACACAAAGCGAACTACTACGGGGTACGTATTTACCAAAAATGGTGGCGTTGTCAAATGGTTAAGTCAACGATAACAATGCATAGCCCTCTCCACTACAGAAGCAGAATTTATGGCTGCAAATGCTCAGCTACAAAAGAAGCCTTGTGGAGCAAAAGACTACTAGTTGATATTAGTGCAGGAATTAATGAAACTTGAATCCTAAATAATCAGTTTCAATCACAACATGTGCTGATTAGTACCGTAATATACACATTCTACTTAAGATTTGTGATAGCGATTTAAACAATTTTGCATATAGATGCATCATTTGGTGGTGTGTGGCACCAAATAATGCACATATTTGGAGAAATTGTGAAATACAGGAACATTTCCAACATCTTCACCAAAATGGTGATGCTGTCTAGTTGTTTGGTATGTAGAAACAACAAACTTAACAAATTGTTAAAAATATGTTCAATAAATAATAATTTAAAAACATTGTAGGTGATTCTGGGTATCCTCTGATGGCCTTGCCGCACCAATTGTGTTGGCAACACTAGAGGAAGTGTCATTGTTAGCACATGCACATCACTTCGTTCACTCACCGACCAGACGGAATAACAGCGACACAAAAATAAACACGTGTAAAATTATCTTTATATCATTAAATTAGTATTCTAGAGTTGAAGATCTTTATTTTCAACATCGGACATCAACGTGGAACCTTCCTCCCCTGTCATTCTATGTGGTATAAATGAAGCTGCACGAAGCATTTCATGGTCTTCTTTGGCTGTCAACAAGAAGTAAAATACAAATCGATACCGTAAATTAAATCGTTAGAGTTGTGATTCTTTAATCTAAAAGAGAAATAAGTAATTAAACCAGTGTTATTGTTGTGCAAAGTAAAACTACGGTGATTTGGTAAAAGTATTTATAACTCTACCTTCTTAGCTCGATAAAACAAAGTAAAGCTAGCTATTGTAAATGCTAAAGATCGTACGGCAGATGAACATTATACCCATATTCACTGTTAAACCAGAAATACTGTGGAGCGTTGCATTGGAGTTTTAGTCTCGCTGGAGGTGTTTACTGGGCCACCGAGTATTGCATTATGATGACCACATGGTCGCTAAAATTATAAACGCCTGTGCAGTCCTACATAACATCTGCAACAAATATAAGCTTCCAGTACCACAATTGTCGGATACTAGTACTAACGGGCCACCCATGCGCCAGCATTTCGGCGCGGAGCTGAGACCGATTCAACGTCGTATGCGACGTTTGCCCCCGAAGTGGGGGAACGGTTTGTTGTCATTAAATATTTTTTGAAAATTATATTTGATATTAACATTTCTGTATGAGGTTTAACATTTGAGATGGTGCTTCGGCGCGGCGTGGCTGTGGCGTCTCATTTAGGACGTAATTTTAAGTGTGACGTGTTTAAAAATAGAATAATACACGTTTTTAATGACCCGTGACATTTAAATGGGTGAATAGTAATCACGTTGGTGACATGATAAATTTTAAATATACCAGTTATTCGAAACCAATTTGTGGTTCCGAATTTTTTGTTTACCACGGCAACACCGGGACACGTCACTCACTCTCGAGTCGGTTGTCAAACTAACCTCAATGCTTTTGACGTGAATGACCTTAATGCTTTTGGCGCGTCTGCCGCGCTGCCACGCCGTACATCAGCATTCCTTACTTTCCCTGCCAAATCATCACCCAGAAACCTCCCCCTCCTGAACGGCGATACGACGGGGACAGCGAAATAGTGGTTAGTGCTAGAATTGTATTATTAAAGTTTAAATTTATTGCATTAATATATTGGCATGTGTTCGTTAGGCTTCTCGTTAGGATTCCGGGGCCCTAGGCCCAGCGATAGGCTGGATTCGGAGTGAACACCAGTCTATAGCTGGAATTGTAGTCTGAAAAAGAGTAACATTTAGCAAATAACTTAAACCAAGTCACATTTGTTCTGAAAACAAAAAGGTGCTATTCAGAAGGTCAATTTTACGGATTTATTTTTAAAAATAAACTCGATAAATCCGTAAAATTAGTTTCATTTATAATGTGTAATCGCGTAAATACAAGGAATTATAAATTAGTTATTCTATAATAGCTGATCGAGTACCATACAATCTACCCCTAAGCTCTCCGTACTGTTTATAATCGAAAATATTTTCGTAGGTCAGGGAACATTGGTTCATTATTATTTTATAGATAAAAGCACCATAAAACAGAACGACGTCGATCTCTGCTTAAGAAAATAAATTTTCAAAAATCGTAATTTCAAAATTGATACAAACCAATACAAAAATTTATTTTGGTCAGGTCAGCCTAGAATTACTCAACAAAACCTATGCAATGTAATATTTACAACTACATATTGATGCGCTATTTTGCGCTAAGTTCATGTCCTACCCCTCACTTCGCCCGCACTTCGAGGCAACTCGGACTGCTGCGTCAGAGCCCTTGCAATAATACCTAAAACGCAGAATAGCAAAAATTAAATTATTTATGTTTAAACTTTTCATTTATATAGATAGTGGATATCATATCATTCGTCTATTGAAGGTAAGAAAAATTTAAATAACGTTTCCTTGTTTAATATTGGTGTCAGCTGCTACATTCCCATTCTCGGTTTTATTTTAACAATATTTATCCCAACTCTGTGGTATTGTGACACTTAACGATCAGAAATGGGAACGTTAGAATACTTTCGAAATGAATTGCCTTAGAATGCAGAACGAGACAAACCCCGTCGCGCGTTGGCCACGTGATAAAGATAAGAAAATTATTGTCTTAAAAACTATTTTAAAAAAGATAACATCAATAATCCTAAAGATTTTTCTAATATTATTATAGAATATATGTGGACACGAAGAATTCAAATAAATAAAAAAGATTTATTTTTATCACAAGAGGCCAGAAGAGAAACTTTGTTTGTAGATTTAAATAAAGAATTTTGGGTACATCGCTCAAAAAACGATGGCGGCATCAACCTACAAGATGAGAGACTATAACCTTAAAATGGCAATTAGGAACAGAGACGCAGCGGTCATTTGAACGAGTGAGTCGGCTTTATAAATTTATTTGACAGCCTGGTACTCGGTCGGTCGGACTTGGCTGCTTCTTACAAAATGGTTCAGCTTCGGGGGGCTCTACGGGGTGAACCTGGGGAATTGGTGGCACACTTGCCTATCACCAATGATAGTTACGCGGTTGCACGACAGGTCCTATTCGACCGATACCAAAACAAACGACGATTCATGGACGCTCAACTGGCCCGGCTGTTCGCAATACCCAAACTATCTCCAGTTTTGAATCCAGTTACGGTGGCCACTAAGCCCTTTGGCAACTTGGGTCTGCCGGTAGACCAATGGTCACACCTGCTATTCTACATTGTTGCGGATAGGCTGCCGATAGAAGTGCTCGCCCGGTTCGAGCAGCAAAGAGGTACAGGTAGAGACGAGCTAACTACCCTGGCCCGTCTGTCGACCTTCCTGGAAGTCGAGAGCCGTAGGTACGAAAATATGCCGTCGCCGTCCTTTGGGTCACCTGGCTCGGGTTCTGGCCACACCGTTTCAGATGCCTAGAGAGGAGTGCCTAGAAGGGGACGGGGCAAGAGAGGGCCGTCCCAACGCCTGTCTGCCATGAGAGCGGGCTTGAAGTAACATCATGTCCCAAGTTCCAGTCGACGCTCATCAGGAGCAGACGCAACATCGCTACCCAGCGACGGTGGTGTTTTTTTTTGTTCGATTATCGTTGAATCGTAATAGGCATAATGCTTAAAGAAAAACAGAAACGCCTAAAGATAGACAAGTCCACTTGGCTTGCAACCCTACGGGTGTTTCAAAAGTCCATGGGCAGGCGGTTATCACTTAACATCAGGTGAACCGCCAGCTCGTTTGCCACTTTCTCACATAAAAAAAAGTGTTGCACTCCGATTTTGAGGCCCTCCTCTCACTAGGAGGAGCCACCATTTTTGCTGGCGACTTCATCAGCAAGCACACTCCATGGAACTCGTCACGTACCAACATTCGAGGCACCGCTCTTGACTCGCTATCCGACAGGCTCGACTTTGAAGTCGTAGCCCCCGTCGTACATACGCACTTTGAGGGACACTCATCGGATGTGCTTGATATTGCAGTCGTCAAAAACATCAGCCTCTCCATACGCGAACCGGAAGTGATACACGAGCTTCACTCTGATCACCGAACAGTTCTTCTTCGGCTAGGGCCCTCAACAATAGCCGTTCCCAAAACCAAAACTGTCATCAGCTGACATAAAGTAAAATCCAAATTTAACGAACCCAACCCTCCACTATTAAAATCAATACCTAACGAACTTAACAGCAAACAGGACACGGAGACCGCAATTTGGGCGCTGACAAGCCACGTGAACACCGTCGTCAAGCAATGCTCGAGTGACTTACTGATACTCAAGAATACGACCACTCGTGCCTATGATAGATATAGACTCCACCTTAACTACAAGAAAACCATCCCATCAAGTTTTTTGGAAACTTCCCAAATCCCTCAAAGGTAACGCCATATCAACCATACTCACTAGTCACCCGATAGGTACGCCAGCAATGCTGGACGAAAAGAAAGCCGAATGCATGGCTGTCAGTCTAGAGTCTCAATGCTCTCCTAGTCTGCCTCCGATGAACCCCGAACACCTCCGCAAGGTGAACAAAGAGGTTGGAAGGAAAGCTTTAGAGCCACTTCGCGATCCCGTTCCCCCGGTCACGTGCTCCGAACTAGTAAACACCATTAAAAAACTACGGCCACGCAAAGCGCCGGGCTCAGATTGTTCACTTAAAACTCACCCCAGACGGAAAAGCCATGTTTCGTACAGAGAATATTATTTAACATTAAATTTTTTTTCTTACGTTTAGAAATCCAAAGTAGCACAATTTGGAAGTAAAAGATTTTAATAATATTTACTTAACCCTTTCTTTTTTTTTCTTACTGGCAAGCACTCTAAATTTGAATCCAACGTACGTTTTTGCAACGTTTACCCGCAATACTTTTGACCAATTGACCTTTGTCACTTACGCTCTAACTCCAAACAAGACTACGTGCGCGATCGGCTAACGTTAATACGTTTTGGCCAACCCCATTTCTTTTTTCCTTGCTCCAAATTAAATATTAAGACAGTTCTTCTACCGAACCTGTGGATAAAAGGAAGTCGTGGACGTATCAGGCCAGGAGATTTTCTACACCGGACCCGGGTCGACGACGGTAACTGAAGATAGTCCAGGTCAGTCCTTGCCAGCCTTTATATTTCTTAACAGGCCATTTTCTACATCAAGTCGATTACCTATATATAGGATATCTAACATAATCGTCGAACCTCTACACAAAGGCACCTTTCCGGGACAGTTGCAGCACAACTGCTTCGCCAGGCCCAGGTGCGTCAAGTACCTAGGTGACCATGGCACCCCCGAATGTCCCAGACCTAGGAATAAGGCACTCCTCCCGAAATTTGGCCCACCCGCCTGCGACCTCTGCCAGTCGGAAAAATATACCAAACAACGCGCCCAAGCGCACACTTTTTAAACCTGCCACTCAGGGAGTAAGAAGGCCTTCTATCCCGACGGCCGCCTCTTTCCCTCCACTAAGCCGTGGCGGTACCCCATAGCCCTCGCGTGAACCCAACCCAAACCAATTCGAGCTCTCACAATCCACGTCCATACCATCGTCGAGCAATACTCGAGACAGGTCCCAGTGATGGATGACCCTCTACTGAAATTACAGGAATTGATAAAAGCTTAATTTAAACATTGTGACACGATATTCCAAATTTTAACGAATTTACAATGGAAACTGCCAGGCCTATCCATGTTCAAGCATATCCATGGTTTTACCTACCAGCAGACCGTCTGCCTGACCTCAACCCTCCTTAAGAATTCTAGTGATTGTATTTATCTAACGTAAAGTATTTTTTTCTACATATTTTAATATGAACACACTTAAATCATTTCAAAAAGGAAACTGTTGTCCTCATCGTCGTTTCCTCTCTAAATGCAGTTCAAAACAATAATTCCACAAGAAGGCACTCCAGGATCGTAATTTAAGCTCCTTTCAACGTAGTGATTGGAGATCCTAAGCGGATGACATAACACGACTATGGGCCGCAGATTGGGAAACAGGTGAGCTTGTAAGGTTATGTGCAGGTTGTTTATCCTTTTCGATAACGGCGTAAATTCATAAGCGTCATCCTCACGAGATCGTTTACTATTTTCTGTAATAGTTATAAAACATATAATTTCCTTTGCTTCAAAACTAAGCGTTCAAATTTCTACGGGCTTTCTTGCGAAAGCCATTGGCTCGTAGTTCATGTTGCAAAACGCAAATGATTTTTAAATTTCCTATAAAATAATACCATTTTGATAGAATTGTAGAGATAGGGATTAGATAAAAACTGCAAAAAGCAATAAAATACGTTTTTAGACAATAATAAAGAAAAAAATTGTACTTCATTTTGATACCAAGAATCTTTTTTTGAAAATATTAGGAATGCCGAAACTATAATATCAAATAATGCTCAAATATCCATACCGATAGCGGGAGAGCGTACCTGTCCCTTTCAGATCTTGGTTACATTCATAAAATTGTCAACCTTAGTGATCCAGAAAACCCATTTGTGTCTGAAGATGATACCCATACCCAAAGAATTGGAAGCCAGTGGAGAAATTTGATCATACACCTACAAGATGGCAGAAAATTATCGAAAAAAACGGCAGAGCATGGATGAGTGTCTTCTTGTGTCACTTCAAAACGAAATCGATTGAGTATTTTTTAAAACGTTCCTCTTACTGTTGGATATAGAACTGTTGTAAAGTCGTTTTAAATATGTAAATTTCACGTGGTGACACATAATAGTCCCGTATGGGAATCTAACCCACGACGTCTGAGGCCGAAGCAAATAAACCGCAACTACGCCATTGAGTCATTATCAACATCATTTTTACTATTTTCAATACTTTAAATTGCTGTATAATAGTAAAGTAAGTATAATAACTCATGATATTTGAGTATACTTCAGTATTTTAGTTCACTAAAGAGATTGGTCGCTGATCTATCACGACAATAAATGTACAATAAATATAAGTTCTTTGGAGATATGTACAAAATGGACACTAAACATTAATATGCGTATTAACCTACAAAATGATCTAACTGCCCATGAATTTTCAAAACAATTGTTAGAAATTGGCGATGGCAAAGCGGACGCAAGGCCTTTAGCTCCTCGGACACGGTTGCTGGACTCCTTAAAGAGCTACGGGTGCCCCTTCCCCACGGGGGTAAACTGAATAGTGCCGTTCTTATATATGAATGATGAACTCTTATACAATCCCAAGCATGGAAGTACAACTGTTGCTGCCTACACAAAGCGCCATCGACCGCAACATGCAGCAAGCTACGACCCAGATTGGATCAGCGGCCTCTACCGCCATATCAGAAAGTTTAAGTGCCATCCAAAAAAGTTTGGAAGAGCAGAGTACATTGGAAGCATTGACAACATGGCTCGTCGAAAAGCTTATAGAGAGGCAACAAAAAGGCTTGATGGCGGTGATCCAGTCGTGGACCGGGTCACTCCTTTCACCAAGGTAGAGAAAGTGTCGGCGTCGAAATACAAGGCTCCACGAGTGATCCCGGCGCGTGACGTAACGTTCAACATAGAATACGGGCAATAGACTACGTAAAGCCCCTGGAACTGGCACTGGGCAACCGCAAACAGTTCGGCTAAGGAAACTACGACATTATTGGGAAAAAAATAGCAGCTCTCAAGTCCAAGTATAAGTACGCCACTGAGGCAGACCACAAGACGTTTGATACATACGTAACATGATTTGAACAGTTAAAGGAGTAGATGATAGAGCTGGAGGTAAAGCTTCCTTACGAGGAAGAGGTGTTGCAAGAGGTCGCAAATGACCCAAGTATTTCCGTTCGTGGAATTGAAGAAAGAACGGGAACCCAAAAGCACATCACATCGTATTTTAGAAAGAGCCGAAATGCATCCATACGAGTTCAGTCTTCTTCCTCGAGATTATACTGAAAGGATTTCATTTTGTAGAACAATGCTACAGAGATATAATGAAAATCCCCAACTCATCCAAAAATCTGTGTTCAGATGAATCTACATTTAAAAGAGATGGTATGTGGCGACACATTTAATGCGAGAAGAATTTAAAGTAAACCTGTGGACCGGAATTTTTGGGCTTTATGAGCTGCCCGAGAACTTGAATAGCACGAATTACCTACATTTTTACGAGAAAATTTACCAACTTTGTTAGAGGACGTACCACTAACAGATCGTCGCCACATGTGGTATCAACAAGATGGCCGCCCAGCGCATTACGCAGTGCAAGTAAAAGATTTCTTTGACCAGGAATATCCGGGAAGGTGGATTGGACGTTCAGGCACTATCTCGTGGCCAGCCCGTTCTCCAGATTTATTGGGGCGTCCTCAAAGAAAAAGTTTATTCAAAGCCTATTGACAGCGTAGCCGAGCTACGTAAACGAATTTCTCAAGCTGCTGAGGACATCAACTCTCGAGGATTTGCCCGACTAATGACTAGATCTTTTTAATAAGATGTAGAGCTTGTATTGAGGCTGACGGTAAACAATTTGAACATTTAGTGTAATAAAAATTTTATTTCCCTATCTGACTTTTATTCCAATAAACCTTAACTAAAGTAGGTCAAGATTTTTCATTATTTTATTTATTTTACTTACTTTTGTTGACTTTGGTAAAAGTGGCGTCACTATCTGTCTCGTTCGCTCATGACAAACATGTCCACCCAGTATCGATCTCTTACATAAATAAAAAACATTTGAACTAAGTATAATGGGTTAGCAAAAATCGGGTTACTCGAGGTTTTTATTTTTTACTAGTTTTTTTTTTTAGTATGAAACTACCAAGTATTGTACCATTTTACAATCCTGATCAAATGCGCGAACTTTTAATGCCACTTGCCAAGGCACTTTAGTAAATATTTTCAAAGGGAGGGCCTTTCATAGTCGACAAATTTTGAAAATTTTAAATTCATAGTTTAACAAATAGTCTTAATTCTAGAAAACTTGGGGCAGTTGTGTCATTATTTTTGACTGCGGTTCTAGAAATGTTATTTAGGGTTACAGTTCCAAAGTTTAAATGAACAAAAATAATAAAAATTAACCACAATAACCGAAAAATGGTTACAGTTTTACCAAATTTCTAGGTTTTTCTTAAATGCCCATAATTTCCAAACTGCATGGGATAGATTTTTTTTCTGAATAATGGTTACAATCAATCCTGTCACCCCGTTTCGGCTTGACGTTGAGTTCTGGGACACCCGATATTCGTACCAATCACGAACATTAAAATAAAGTAAATATTTCGTGCCGGACATAACGAATGTTTTTACGTTTTATGGGGATCGAACTGCGAATTAAGTGTTTTTTTCCAAAATTAAAAAAATAAATAAACAAAGAAATTACTGAAACTGTTGGAAGTTCCAGAACAAGGTAAAGTTTTGTATCATTTGATATTTTATGTACACAAAGTAAGAGCTGCGATAAATTGGAGACGACCCTTCCCCTCTTCCCGCGTCCGTCTTACCAGCACCGGCACGGCGTCCAATTCCTCGGCGTATTTTCATCGGTCTTTACCACACATGATGCAAACATTTGAAATAGCTGCAACTCTGTTAAACAGATTTGGTGCTCGCTTTCAAGATAATAACATATGCAAGTGTAATACTGGAAATAACAAGGGAAAGGATGCATCTTAAAAGTAATCTGGCAAATACGGTTGATTCTGTTAATATGAATAGGCGATTATCCCACTTTCATAGTATGACTGCAGATCGATATAATGTAGTACTGTCCAGCCATGGATATTAAAGACCTTATCCTGTGACAGTAACGATCATGAGCACAGGCATAATTACTTTTGATAAAATGTGCGATCCTAGGTCATCTGATAAAACACGCAGTAATATGTCAAAGCGAAAATTTTTAACGAAATTAATATTATTCCGGCACGAATACATGTGAAATTAAATCTCTCTAAACGTTAACTAAAAGCGTTAAACAACTTACGCAACGACATAAATTGAACGATCCTCCGCACGGATAAAGGCAGCGCTACGGTTGTAATGGATACGTCAGAAAATAATCTGAAAATTAAAGACTTTTCGGATATAAAATAAAAATAATTATAAAATATAAAAGTATATCAGAAGGTCAAAACAGACCCCAAAACAAAAACGCTTAACTAGTTTCATTTAATTTGTATTATATTCGTTAACGCCTCGTCCGTGTAATTACGTACCAAACAATCACGAACATTTAAAAAAAAATATTTTTAACTGGTATCAATTATTACATAGCAAATCCCGCTTCACTCCTGTTATCATTGTTTTTTCGACATAACGAATGTTTTAACGTTTTATGGGGATAGAACTGAGTTGTGTGCTTTTTACAAAATGAATAAAAAATAAATAAAGAAATTACTGGAGCTTTTGGAAGTTCCAGAACAAGGTAAAGCTTTGTATCAAGCATTTAATGTACACAAAGGTATAAAAAAATCTAAAAATGTTTTTATTTTATATATCTACGGCAAGATATATGTAACTATATACCCAGCAAATGATATATTTGTGACTGAGAAATTGCACATTGCAGCAGAAAACAAGAAATGTTTTCCATATCTCCCGTCTCCCGTCTGCTATGCTTCTTTCGTCTTGAGATGCCTCGAGAGGGTACACGATACGTCAGTTTAGTCTTGAGGTGCCACAAGATGGTACACGAGATGGTTCTACTGATTGACGAGCAGATGAAAAATAAACCACGACCTGTAGGCCTGAAAAATGTTGTCTTTACCACAAGTGATGGATTGATGCTAGATTTCGAAATTCACAAAGGTGCAAAAAGATGTTTCGGTGATACAAAATTTGAGTTGAACTTATACCCCTCAAAGCAAATACCAACGACCCTCCACTCTAGTGTGTAGGAAATATCACGACGCAATAGATATCAAACCAACAACTTGTAAATAAATCACAAGCTGTACTAATAAATTATTGATAAATTATTTATTAAATTAAATATGTACCATAATTATAGCACGAGTGCCAACGATGAGACAGGGCACATCTCGATGATATAATTTTAATATTTAAAAATAAATTTCAATATTTATTTTTAACGTTAATTACGTTAAATAATGTCAAGAAAATGACATTTGTACTTTTATTTTTATTCATGTTTCAAATGTGCAAACATATATAGCCCATCCTGTAGTAAGAGAGGAAAATAACATTATCCATTAAAAATTGAAAAAATCTTAAGTACAGATAATAGCACAATAAAAATTTAAAATTTCCTTTATTCAATCAGTGTTGCTTAGGTACTTATTGACAAAAATTATCCTGACGATGGGCTAGAGTCAAAACAAACAAGAAAATAACATGAACTTAGTTATCCTGTCACAGACGACGAATGCTGTGCACGAGAAGCCGGGGCAACTTAGGCTGAACCCTGTAGGCGATAGCGATAATTATGGCCGTGACTGTCACGTACCTGCAGTGGCTTTGCTGCTCTGAGCTCATCGAGGATCTGGGTCAAAAGCAACTAACCCACCCGAATCCATCGTTCGTGATGGTCCAGACAACACGGTAACTACTCCCGTTTTTCAGTAAAGAATATTATGTTAACTTCAGCATTTAACTGTTTTTTTTTTAAAGAGGGCAATGTAGGGGCACATATGTAGTTTAGCAACTAAACAAATAGTGACGTATATAGCACATCTCGTTTGTAATTCTTCAGTATCAATCTACGGAGTTTCCGTGTAATCGTAATTAGGGGACACATCTAAAGTTAAATCTGGGATCGCTCCGTAAAAGTGCTGTTTTAATAGAAAATCTGGGATCGCTCCGTAAAAGTGCTGTTTTAATAGAAAAAAACAAAGTCAACAGTTTAAAAGAAATTGTGACAAACGCAGCTAAAAATTAAGACCGCAAGCCTAAAGTTAAGAAAGTGGGAAATCAAACATCATATTTCTGCATTGGCCATATTTAGGAGGTAACCAAAAGCAGAAATCAGCTCTTAAATCAGGTACTCGTATTACTCACAACAGAAAAAACTACATAGTATCTTAAAAGAAGTACTTGTTGAGAGTGTGGATTCCAACTGTTTGTAAAATGCTTATGCATTTGAAAAAAAAAAGAATATTATTTTGAAAAATCCAATCTTGAAAATGCAGACTATAAAAACCCACTCATTTATTTATATCAGATTCAATAAAGACCATTCCCTCACGTTAGTCTTCATTGCCTCACCTTAAGTTTTTAATTCATTCATGGAAGTTTCTTTAAAAACTCTATTTCGTGGACCATTACATTAGTAAAACCTTACTAGGTTAATAACCATATGCATATGCATTACAAAACTGACTGAAATAATATATAGGAGTAAAATAAGCTAATAGGATAATAAGCTAGAACTATTTCCTGAACGTTTAGCTTAACTAGAACCTAGAAATAATTACCCAGTTTGTTCCTGTAACGTATGAAGGCATACTCGTAAGTTTTATTGTACGGCAGTCTCTAAATAAAGCGAGTAAAG